GGTGTAACACTTGCGGCAGATCATCTTGTTGCAGTTGTACTTTTGTATGAGTTGGCGGTGAGAAGGTTACAAAGGGCTAATTCCAATGTAACCCTAATATTTGGGGGGATAGCAATCTATGCCAACAAGCTCAGTGTATATTCTTAATAACCTATAATTAAGTCACTACTTCTTTATCAGAAACTGGTCTTGCAGAACCTGTTACAGAGGCCATAAAACTGTGAACAGTGCACTGCCCTGAGGGAGGGTTATTAATGCTGGTGCCAGGCCAGGCCATCAGATATGGCCAGGAGACCCCCAACACCTGGGAGCCTTCTTGCAAGGCCCGCAAAAAGGATCAGAAGCATAATCCATATTTACAGGACAAAGACCCCAGGAAGATATAAAAGAGAAGCCCCCTACATGTTACTTTACTCAGATTTGGAAAGTTATTCCCTGAGTCTGCAGGCATAAATAAAAAGTGTCCCTCCTTTTCTTTAAAGCATCGCTTGGTTTTTCTTTGGTCTTCTGCAACAGCAGAGGAGGGTTCGATGATGCCACCCCTCAGACGAAGCACCGAGTGTAGGGTGGATTCTTTCTGAATATTGTGGTCTGAGAGAGAGTCGCCATCCTTTTGCTGTTTACACACAAAAATCAGATGATACTGGTCAGGCGAGATGCTCTCCTTGTCTTGAATTTTAGCATTGACATTCTCAGTGGTGTCACTAAGCTCAACCTCAAGAATGATGGTCTTGCCAGTCAGGGTCTTCACAAAGATATGCATCTCTGTGTCTGCTGGGAGGCTGCTCCACTGCCTCATTGATGAGTCACTCTTAATGAGTATGGCTAATGGTTCATCAGTCTTGTTTGTCCTTTCAAAGAACCAGCTCTTGGTTTCTTCTTCTTCTATTTTTATTATTTATTTTATTTTATTATTATGATTTTAGTCTCTATGTCATTTATTTCTACTGTAATCTTTATTATTTCTTTCCTACTACTTACTCTGGGCTTTTCTTGTTCTCTTTCTAATTCTTTAAGTTGTAAGGTTAAATAGTTTATTATTGATTTTTCTTGATTTTTTTGAAGTAGGCTTGTAGTGCTATGAATTTCCCTCTGAGGATTGTTTTTGCTGTGTCTCGGAGATTTGAGGTTGTTGTGTGTTCATTTGTTTCTAGGAAGTTTTTATTTTTATTTTTTATTTTTATTTTTTTTTAAATATATTTTATTGATTTTTCACAGAGATGAAGAGAGAGGGATAGAAAGTTAGAAACATCGATGATAAAGAATCATCGATCAGCTGCCTCTTGCACACCCCCTACTGAGGATATGCCCACAACCAAGGCACATGCCCTTGACCGGAATCGAACCCAGGACCCTTCAGTTCGCAGGCTGACGCTCTATCCACTGAGCCAAACCGGTCCCGCTGTTTCTAGGAAGTTTTTATTTCTTTCTTGAGCTCATTGGTAACCCATTCATCATTTAATGACATACTACTGTGTTTCCCCAAAAATAAGACATCCTCCGAAAATAAGACCTACTTACAGGTTTCCTTCTGAGTGAAATATAAGGCATCCCCCCGAAAATAAGGCTCCATAGGTTAAACATGAGCGATTTGGTCCACTGATTCTGAAAGAAATGGAGTCACAAGAAATTCACCAGGAAATTCAGGAATTGGATTGTTATGATGATGTTCCAGAAGATTATGATATGATTGTCATTGAATAAATGAGTAAATTCTTGATACTGTAGGATTCACAGTTTGTCTGGTTTGTGTTGACAACTACCGTACTACCGTACCATATATAGATAATAAATTTCCTTTATTTTCATTTAACAATAAATGTGTACCGTATTCTTCTTCATGGAAAAATAAGACATCCCCTGAAAATAAGACCTAGCGCATCTTTGGGAGCAAAAATTAATATAAGACACTGTCTTATTTTCAGGGAAACACGGTATTTAGCTTCCAGGAATTCGAATGCTTTTGGGTATTTTTACTGTAGTTAATTTATAATTTCATTCTACTGTGATCTGAGAAGATGCTTGTTATGATTTCAATCCTCTTGAACTTGTAGAGACTTAGTCTGTGCCCTAACATGTGGTCTATTTTTGAGAATGACCCATGTGCATTTGAGAAGAATGTACATTCTGCTGCTTTGGGGTGAAATGTTCTATAAATGTCATCTAAATCTATCTAATCCAGTGTGTCTTTTAGAGTCACTGTTTACTTGTTAATTTATTTTAAATATGTATCTCTATTTATTTCAGAGGAAAGGAGAGAGAGAGAGAGAGAAAGATAGAAATATCAATGATAAGAGAGAATCATTGATCGGCTACCTCCTGCATGTCTCCCACTGGGGATCAAGCCTGCAATCCTAGCATATGCCCTTGGCCAGAATTGAACTTGGGACCCTTCAGTCTGCAGGCCAATGCTCTATCCACTGAGCCAAATTGGCTAGGACTACTTGTTAAATTTTTTTTGAAAGATCTATCTAGTGAAATTAGTGGAGTGTTAAAATCCCTTACTATGAGTGTATCATTGCTCTCCCCATTAAAGTCACTGGGAGTATTTTGTGTGTGACCTTTGTTGTCTCTTATGATGGCCTTCATTTTGAAGTCTATTTTGTCGGATATGAGTATTGCTAATCCAAAACTTTTTTTCTTTTCCATTTACATGGAAACATTTGTCATCCTTTCACTCTCATCCTATGTGTGTCTTTTGTTCTGAGGTGGATCTCTTGTAGACAGCATATAGGTGGGTCATGTTTTTGTATCCATTCAGCTACCCTGTCTTTTGATTGGAACATTTAATCCACTTACATTTAAGGTTATTATTGATAGATACTTGTTTATTGCCATTTTATTTTATTTTTAAACAGTAATTCTTTTTTTTTAAAATATATTTTATTTATTTATTTATTTATTTTAAAAATATATATATATTTCATTGATTTCCACAGAGAGGAAAGGAGAGAGACAGAGAGCCAGAAACATCGATGAGAGAGTCATCGATCAGCTGCCTCTTGCACACTCCCTACTGGGGATTTGCCCGCAACCAAGGTACATGCCCTTTACGGGAATCGAACCTGAAACCTTTCAGTCCCCAAGCCGACTCTCTATCCATTGAGCCAAACCGGTTTCGGCTGTTTATTGTCATTTTAATTCTGTATGCCTATATTTTTATCTCTATTTTTTCTTATAATTACAGCAGTCCCTTTAGCATTTCTTGTTGTGCTGGCTTGGTTGTGATAAACTCCTTCAGCCTTTTTTTTTTTGTCTGGGATGCTCTTATTTCACTGTCTATTTGAATGATAGTCTTGCTGGATATAGTAATATTGATCTCAGATCCTTGCTTTCCATTACCTTAAATACTTCATGCCATTCCCTCTGGCTTTTTGAGTTTCTGATGAGAAATCAGATGACAATCTTCTGGAAGCTCCTTTGTAATTAGCCATTTGCTGTTCTCTTGCTGCTCTTTGTCTTTAATTTTTGGAATTTTAATTATGATGTGTGTGGGAGTGGGCCTCTTTAGGCTTATCTTGCTTGGGGCTCTTTGTATATCTTGAACTTTTGTGACTTTTTATTTCACCAGGTGAGGGTAGTTTTCTGCAATAATTTCTTCAAGAACTTTCTCTATCTCTTTCTACCTTTCTTTCTCCTTTGGTACACTTACTATGCGAATATTGTTATATTTTATGTTGTCCCACAACTTTCTTAACCTGTCCTCCTGTCTTTTAATTGGTTTTTCTTTTTGGTTCTATGATTGAGTGATTTTTTTCTATCCTGTCTTCTAATTTACTGATTAAATCTTCTAATCTGCTATGTATTCAGTCTCCTAATCTGCTATGTATTCCTTCCAATATGCTATGTAATTCTTTATTTCTGACTGTTCTGTTTTCATAGTTACTATATATTTTCTCATGCTGTTGAACATGTTTACTATCATTATTCTGAACTCTATATCAGATAAATTTCATATCTCCATTTCATTTATCTTCTGGATAATTCTCTTGTTCTTTCATTTGGGGATTATTTTTTTGTCTCCTCATTTTGGCTGCCTGTTAGGGTTTGTGACTATGCATTAGATCTGCATCTCTCAATATTTAGTGAAGGATAGTGTCAAAAGATGTTTTGCACTAATTAGATCAGGCAAAGACTCCAAGTGTCCAGAGACCTGCCTCTGCCTGAAGACTAATTGGATCCAGTCTTTTTTTTTTTTTTTTTTTAATAAATTAATATTGATATCAGAAAGGAAGGAAGAAGGAGAGATAGAAATACCAATGATGAGAGAGAAGCACTGATCAGCTGCCTCTTGCATGCCTCACGTTGTGTATCTAGCCCACAACCCAGGCATGTGCCCTGACTGGGAATCGAACCATGACCTCCTGGTTCAGGGGTTGATGCTTAACTACTGTGCCATGTGGGCTGAGGTGGATTTAGTATTGAATAGCATTCAGGAAATTATTCACAGGTGTGGCGAGAGTTTTTTTGAACAGGGTGGGGCAGTTGCTTTTGCCTGGAGGCTTATTGTTATTGTCAGTCTCTTAGTTGGTGAGCCCCACCAACTCCACACCAAGATGCAAGGTGTTTTCCAATAGGGTGAGTCAACTGTCTTATCCCCAGGCAAATACCACCAGGATAGCAATTGTCTGCCTGAGCAAACTGTCCTTCACATTCTACCTTGGTTGCAGGCTCAAACCTCAACCTTGGTCCTTGGCCCTAGTCATGGAGCATGTGTGAGGCCACCCACCAATTGATGTGTGTCTCTCGCATCAATGTTTTTTCTCCTCCTCCTCCTCCTTCTTCTTCTTCTTCTTCTTCTTCTTCTTCTTCTTCTTCTTCTTCTTCTTTCTGTTCCTCCTCCTCCACCTCCTCCTCCTCCTCCTCCTCCTCCTCCTCCTCCTTCTTCTTCTTCTTCTTCTTCTTCTTCTTCTTCTTCTTCTTCTTCTTCTTCTTCTTCTTCTTCTTCTTCTTTCTGTTTCTCCTCCTCCCTACTGCTCCCTTTAAAAATCAATGGGAAAATATCCTTGGGTGAGGATTTACATAAGTAAATAAAAAGGCCCTATGAGATTGACCTGTAGCATTCCAGATGCTGCAGTAGACATGGGCATCTGTACTGAGTGTGCCAGTTTGAATAATGGATCTTAAGGTAAGACTTCTTGGGGAATGAAGAATAACCTGTAGTGCCAGCACCCTAGGACATACACCATGGAGCTATTGTATTAACCTGGCCTTGGGTAACTCCAACTTGTACCCTTTGGTGCACTCTCATAGCCCCATGGGGGGAGGGTCTTCCCTAAGACTTGCTTATACAACCTACCATAACTGGTAAATGGCAAACTACTATTCAAGTAAATAACCCTAAGAAACTTATTTGAGTAGGTACCTTAATTACTTCCACCTGGCAGATTCAGACTCTTCCTCTCACAGCTAGCATTCTAGGCTAGGGGGTGTCACCAGTAAAAGTTATGGTATAGGAGACCAGAGAGACCACCTGAACAAGGATAAACAGGACAGAGAAACAGTCTTTAAACTACCCACTGGTGCTGATGTGCCTCTGTTGATTCCTGCTAAACATTTGTCTTATTTTCTTTAGGTCAGTGCAGGCTGACAGCATTGTGAGATGAGTTGAAGAAGTGGATCTCCGGTCCAATGTTTTGGATTGTTGGGTATATTGAAAGGTTCCCTGCTCTGCTACTGCTGGGCTATTTTGGAACACAAATCCAGTCAACGATCCTATGTCAACATGGTTTGGAAACTTGTCTTGGGGCTGATGATCAGCTTTATATATTCTGATACTGGTATGTATACGTCTGTTCTTCTTTTGCTGTACATTGTTGCTGTGGTATATGAACACAATGCCTCACCCATTTTTCTCTCTCCCCAGGGTTTGCGAAGATGTAATGGGCAGATTACAGAGAGTGGAGAAGAAAGGTACCCATGTTGGGATGGAGCCTGTGAATTGATGTGTGAATGCAGCAGGTCCTCGGGTTACGTCGAAGATCTGCTCCTATGGCGCAACGTAACTCGATTTTCGACTTAAGTCAGAACCCACCTACATAAGCACCTACGTCACTCACATGGAGCACATACACAGCAGTAATGAAGTGAATTAGTAAAAATAATTTAAAAGAAAGATAACAATTTCTGACCTTTACTTGTGGTAAATAAATAATAAAAATCATAAAGCACATGTGTACACACGTCGAAATGACAGACTTCTTCCCCCCCCCTTCCCTCCGAATTTACACAAACACTTTATTAACAGTGGAAGATCTTCCCCGTGGGCTGTGTGTTCACCCAGCCAGCCAGGACCCAGACACAAGTTCAGCGCAGCCTACAGGCCTCTGGCTCGGACTCCAAGAGAGTGAGCACGTCGCCCCGGCGCACAGGGCCTTTCGCATTGCGGATGATGGAGCGGCTCCTGTCGTCCATGAACTCCACGCGGACCTCCGTGCACTGTCCCTGGGAGCCGGTCCTGCCTAGCACCTTGGTAACCAGGGCCAGCTTGATAGGCTGCACGCGACTCGTGCCCATGATGGCGGCAACAGTCAGGCGGAAAGGATTTTTTTTAAATAAATAAATGGGAGATGGCGACCAAAAAGAAACTGTTTCTGGATGTGAGCCTGAATTGCTCCGCTTGCTTTGTTTTTTGTACTCTATATAATCCTGTAGTGAGAAAGTCCGGGTTGCAGAGCCTTCACCTGTAGGCTGCCTGCCCCTTCTCCCCTCCTGCACGTGTGGGTCCTAATAAACGTATGTCTTTCACAGCCAGTCCTCTGGGTTTTATTTATTTATTCATTTTTTATTTTTAATCAGCAAGAGTTAACAGTCAAACCTCAGTTCTCAACTGTCTTCCATCTTGAATAATTCACTTCTCACCCTGACAGTCTTTTCATGCTGATACCTGTATGACCAGTCATGTGTCTCTCAGGCAACCGAGAAGAGGAAGTGCCAGTCTGAGTTAGTTTACCACCAAACTTCACATTGTTAACATTAGAAAATGGCGCTGTGTATATTCTTATTTTTTTTGTTTGTTTGTTTTTGGCTTTTGTTGCTGTTTATTATTATTACATTTTCATTTTTTACCGTATATTTCATTTCCTTTTTGTTAAATTTTTATTTCACATCCTTTATTTATTTATTTATTTATTTATTTCCAATGCATGAATCACTCACGGTTTATTTGCCGGAGTCCTGGTGGGTTCCGGAATCCTAGGCAGGCCACACGGACAGACACATACAGTTCATGGAGGACGTTGCAGCTGCAGCTCAGCTTGAGTTGAGGCCTCTCATGATGGCTCACAGTCCAAGGCTCAGGGTTCAGGGCTTGGGGCTCAGGCAGAGCTTTTGGCTGGTGCAGGCAGGCGGGGAGTGGAGAGAGACCTTCTGTGGAGGAGCAGAAGGATGTCTCTGATCTTCTGTGGAGTCTCCTCCTTTTATCACAACCTTTTTTTAAAAAAAGTGTTTATTTATAGATTAAACAGTACATTAGACATGTACTGTGTATACGAAAGGTTAAGACAGGGAATCATTTGAGGGTCTGGAATGGATTGATTAAATGTATGTTTCTCATGGGAAAAAAAAAGATTTGGTTTTTGAACAGCCTTCCAAACGAATTATGTTTGAGAACTGAGGTTCCACTATACACCGAAGCCTTTTGGACCTTGGCTGTTTGCATAACAGGATAACCAGCAGTGCTGGATTGTGAGAGGGATGTCCGACTGCCCGTTTAAAAAGGGTGGTTGGACATCCCTCTAGGGGTCCCAGATTGGAGAAGGTGAAAGCTGGGCTGAGGGACAACCCCCCACTTGCCCCTGTGCACGAATTTCATGCACCAGGCTTCTAGTTAAATATAAAACTTTAGGGGCAAAAATGCCCCTTCCAAAAAAAAAACACTCCAGTGAATTCATTTCTTCTTTGGTTTCAAGAATTAGCTTGTAATTTGTTATAGCCTTCATCTGGTGCACTAGAATGAATTCTTTGTCATAATTTGGACACTGTTTTGAAAGACACAGTTCCTTCCAACCGACCCTCTCATTTCCTCCTCTGGGTTTTGGTGCCCGTGTTTTGGAGGGCCTTTTCTCTGGGATTAGTGACCCAAAGGTCATAAGGAGGCCCGTGGGCCATTCCATGTCAGTGTGCTGGGTGAGTGATGGGGGGTGTAGGGAACAGAATGTTCCAGATGTGGGTATGAGGTAGGGGTGACCTTCTCAAGGGTGGAATGTTTCTCTGCTGAAGGGGCAGTTGGGCAGGGATGGGGGTGCCGGGGAGACAGGGCTCCATTGAAGCAGAAAGCCCAGTGTGACCGGAGGGGCAGTCTGAAGCAGACTGTTCACTCAGGCCTGTGGGATCCAGGCTCTGACCTCATGGGACCACTATCAGGTTCTTTTTAAAATTTTTATTTATTTTTAATTTTATTTTTAAAATATAATAAATCTTTATTGTTCAGATTATTACAGGTGTTTCCCCCCCCCCCACCTCAGTTCTCCTCCACCTGATTCCCCACCCCACCCCATGCCCTTACCCCCTGCCACTGTCTTCATCCATAGGTGTAAGATTTTTGTCCAGTCTCTTCCCGCACCCCTCAGACCCCCTTCCCCTTGAGAATTGTCAGTCCACTCCCTTTCTATGCCCCTGATTCTATTATATTCACCAGTCCATTCTGTTCTTCAGATTTTTTATTCACTTGATTTTTAGATTCACTTGTTGGTAGGTATGAATTTATGTCTTTTTGTTGCTATCAGGTTCTTATAGAGAATGCCGTGCTCTGGTTTGCAATCACAAGGGTCACGGGAGGTGGCAGGGGGAACAGAAAGGCCCAAGCCTTGTCTCCACAAGGGCCCTTGGCGCTGGCAGGACCAGGGGAAGGGAGGGGAGGGAGATGGGAGGGAGGTCTCCTGTGCAGGCTGGACTGTGCACCTAGCACGATGTCTCTCCGTGGCTGGGCTGACCGGTGGGCAGCACAGGGTGCCAGCAGATTTGGAGGGAGGTGCTAGGCTGGATGGGAGGGGTCCAGATGTCCTGGAAGGCATGAGCTGGAAGCCCACTGTGTCTGTTTGAGCTGGAGATGCAATGCCCAGGGGGGACAGCCTTTGTGGGTGAGGGCAAGAGGAAGGAGTGGGGGAGGCTCAGCCTAACTGCAGGGGGACATCTGGCTGGTGCTTGTTACCACTTCCCCCTCATGCCAGCTGCATGGCCACCCTCAGCACCCAGGCCGGGGAGGCCACTCAGCAGCTTTGCTGGGCAGATGAGGCTGAAAGACCAATTCGGACTGTTAGGGGCAGAAATAGAATGGCGGGAACTAGCTATAAGTATAGTCGGAAGGAAGCACCGAGGTTGGACCTGGGACTGAAGGTAGCCCAGGACAGTCTTCTGTGCTGATGGGTAGCCGGATAGAAATATTAATTATGCTCTGTTAACCAGGCTTATTCTGTTCGAATGAAAGAAAGCACATTTTAACTCGGCTGGGAGCTGTTTGGCCCCGGGACATGGGCGTTAACGCTGGAATGCAGTCCACTCTCCTTTTCTGAGAACTGCCTATCTTCATGGAAAGATTAACAACCTCATTGCTGAAATGATGTGGCTTTGGAGGTGCCTCTGAGACCTGCCCACCCAGCCCACATTGCCTGTCACCTGTAGCCATTATCCCGTGCCTACTTCCCCATGCCTGCAATTCCTGCTTTCCTGTGTGCTCTTTATCCTCCCACCCACTGTAAGCAGCTAGTTTATGGGCAGAGGCAGCGCTGCCGGCATTATTGGAGTAAATGCTCAGACGTGATTCACCTCTGTCTCTGCTTAATTGGCTCAGGTAGTGACAGGCAGCCCGGATCCCGAGGTTGTCTGGTTTCAAGACCTTGAACTCAAAACTCCAGACAACTGTGGGTCAGGTGCCGCATGGAGACAATCAGAAAAGGGGAGCAGGATGGGGGTGGGAGGGGAGGAGGGAAGAGATAGCACTTATTGCATTTACTGATCATTTACCAAACACAGGGCATATCCTAACCTCTTACCCAGTAAAAACAACAACAGTTGACCATTGTCACAGGATGCTCATGTGCCAGACACTATTTTATTTTTATTTATTTATTTCAAGAAAAACGATTTTAATCTACACAATGGAATACTATGCTTCCATAAAAAGAAGGAATTCTTACCATTTGCAGCAACCTGGATGGAATTGGAGAACATCATGCTAAGTGAAATAAGCCAGTCAATGAAAGAAAAATACCACATGATCTCACTCATTTATGGATAATAAAGATCATTATAAACTGATGAACAAAAAGATAAATACAGAGACAGTAAAGCAACAAATAGACTGTCAAATTACAGCAGGAAGGCTAGGGAGAGGTGGGGGAGATAAGAGATCAACCGAAGGACTTGTATGCATGCATATAAGCATAACCAATGGACACAAACCACTGGGGAGTGAGGGCATGTATGGGAGTGAGGGGGGCAGTGGTAAGATATGTACACATATAATACCTTAATAAAAAATGAAAAACTAAAATATAAAAAAAGAAAAATGATTTTAAATATAATAGTTACATGAAATAAACATTAATATTTCAAAAAAATCTTAAACATAATAATGTTACATGCAATAAATACCTATTATTCAAGAAAAACTATCTTAAATATAAAAAACTATCTTAAACATTAATATTTCAATAAGAAAGGATTTTAAGTATAATGATATCACCAAAACTGTACTAACATAGTATGATATCACAAAAGTTGTAGGAAATGTTAAAAATCTGCAAATAACAGGGTTACTTCTATTATAGTCTAAAATATTTTTTTCTTCTGGCTCTATTTTTGTTCATCAGTTTATGTTGTTTATTATATTCCACAAATGAGTGATATCATGTGATATTTATCTTTCTCTGACTGGCTTATTTCCCTTAGCACGATGCTCTCCAGGTCCATCCATGCTGTTGCAAATGGTAATAATCCCTTATTTTTTTACAGCAGCGTAATATTCCAATGTGTAGATGTACCATAGTTTCCTAATCCATTCATCTGCTGATGGGCATTTAGGCTGTTTCCAAATCATAGCTATTGTAAATTGAACATAGGGGTGCATATATCCTTTCTGATTGGGGTTTCTGCTTTCTTGGGATATATTCCCGGATGTGGGATCACTGGGTCAAATGGGAGTTCCATTTTAAATTTTTTGAGGAAACTCCAGACTGTTCTCCACAGTGGCTGCACCAGTCTGCATTCCCACCGGCAGTGCAAGAGGATCTCTTTTTCTCTGCATCCTCACCAGCACTTGTCATTTGTTGATTTGTTGATGATAGCCATTCTGACAGGTATGAGATGGTACCTCATTGTCATTTTGATTTGCATTTTGATATCTCAGATGATTGGTGACTTTGAGCATGTTTTCATACCTCTCTTGGCCTTCTGTACATCCTCTTTCGAAAAGTGTTTACGCCCTTTGCCCATTTTTTGATTGGATTGTTTATCTTTCTTTTGTTAAGTTGTATGAGATCCCTATAAATTTTGAAAATTAAACCCTTATTGGAGATAACATTGTCAAATATGTTCTCCCATGCAGTA